AGGCCAGGCTGCGCGCCCCGGCCCCATCCTCGGCCGCGGCGCGCCCGCAGCCCGGTGATTCGCTCTCTCTCTTTGGCGTTTGAAGGGAGCGCGGTGACTGTCCTTGAGCGCGGAGGGGCAAGCTCGCCTTCGGAGCGCCGGAGCAAGAGGAGGCGCAGGAGCGGCGGCGGCGGCGGCAGCGGCGGCGTCCGAGCACCCGAGGGGGTCCGAGCCCCGGCAGCCGGCCAGCCCCGCGCCACAAAGGGAGCGCCCCCGCCACCCGGCACGCCGCCTCCCTCCCCAATGTCCTCGGCCATCGAGAGGAAGAGCCTGGACCCGTCTGAGTAAGTGTGGTGCTTCTGCCCCTGCCACCTATGGTGTCCACGGCCTCGCGCCCCGGGCGGCAGGGTGGCGCAGACAGCCCGGGAGGGGGCTCCAGGAGCGCGCCCGCAGCGTGCCCTTGGCTCTCTCTGCCTTGGGCAGGGCTCCCCTTTCCTCGCGGGGTGGCTCCGGGGACCCCGGGAGAGGGGCTGGGAAGAGGACGGCAGGGAGAGGGGACTGGCCGGGCACCTACCTCGGACCCCTCCTGCTGCCTGGGACGCTCCTTAAAGCGGCCGCGAGCCAGAAAGTTTGCACAGGAGTAGGCACGGGTGGAGCTCGCAGGGGCGCAGGTGCAGTCTGGAGAGCGTTCAGGGCTTAGTTCTGCTTCCTTCTCCCTTCTTGCCCCTTCCCAGCTCCTTTTCTCTTTGTCCTTTTGATCCTGGAAAGAGGGACATTCCAAGCGGAGGTCTCCGGGATCCCGGACAGCCGCTTCCAGGTCCGCAGGTGGAGCGGCTGCTAGCAGTGCCGGTGGCCCGCGGGTGAGGGGTCCGAGCGTCCACCTAGGAACTCGCTCTGGCCTTCGGAAACTTCTAGAGCTGCCAAATCCAGCGTTAATCTGGGTTTATGTAACCCCCACCCCCGAGTCTACAAACGGGGGGTCTGTGAACCTTAAAAGTCAGTGCACCATTGTGTGTATAGGTGAAATTTTCTGGAGAGAAGAGTCTCAAGGTTTTCATCGTAGTTTCCAACGGGTTTGGAGTCAGGGAACCAGGGCTCTAATGAGTATTTGTCCCATCAGTTTTCTGAACCTCTTACTAGTTTGGAATGTTCCCCGCTTCAAATCTGCATCCCCAACCCATTCTTTGGTGTTAACATGGAAAGAAAAGTGTTGCTTAAGATACCATTTTCCCGTCAACGCAAATGCCTTCTTAAGATTCATTAGTTGCCTGGTTTTGAGAATTTTTATTCCTTTGAAGTCCCTGGCTAATCCTTTGAAGGGATTTGTTACACAGACCAAAAGAGCTGGTTAATGACTTGTCCGTTTGTGCTTTTAAGAGGCATTTGTTTTGTTTTTTCTTTTCCTGCTTTAAAAGAATTGTGCTTTCCTGCTTGAAGTCTCCCCCCTCCAATTTCAACCCTCCATGGTGTTTATTTACCTGGGTTTTACCCTCAGTTACCGACATAAAAGCTCCGTCTGTTCTCATAAAACACAGGAAGTGCCTCCATCCAACGAGAATATAAACATCACTATTCAATCTTGAAGGTTAAGACACCAGTTCTATAAGGAGCTACGTTTGTGTTAACAAACACTCAGCTTCCTTAAACAAATTCTCTGGAGAAAAATAACATTCCTTTACTTTAAAGTCTATAACTATGCAAACAATGAGTTTCAAGGGTGGTTTGCTCACTTTCCTACAAATCCAGAATTACAATTTAGCCCTAACCTTTCAGATACTGGGCAAGACCATAGCAATACAATAAGAGAGTGAATTGGATGAATTGGTGCCTAATACCCTTTCGATCCACAGAACTGAGTCACTAATCCTTTTATTAGAAGCTAAATCTGGAGGTTTCAGTTCCCTGAAGGAAGTTTGCCCTTTTCAAAGTTTGTTCTTCTTCACTGAGATTAGAAAATTGAAGCATCCTAACCTTGTAACATAGCAGGCACCCACTGAAGGATGCTAACCTCCTCCATCCTTCTGCTTCACTATTTGTCCAATGAAGATGGGTTCTAACTGAAGTTGGACAAGCTAGTTGAGGAATTGGTGCGAGCATTTTTTTTTTATCACTCTCAGAAATCGATGATGAATTATCTTAGAAATCCAGGCTGAAGTAATATTCAGAATAGGCTCTAGGAGAATATAAAATATTAATTTAAGGGTAAATCCCACTCACTCATTGGCTTGGAACTTCCACCAAAGATAATGTGACATTATCATTAATTACAGAAAGATAGATGGAACCAATATCTTATCCTGTCCTTTCCTATCTCATCTTAGGCCATCATGATAACTCTTTTGCTTAACATTTCTACTGTGGACCACTATCCTACTAGATGTTTTTTGTGTACTTACTCAAGGCCACCTTGGGTCTTACAGTCAGCAGCTCCATATTACAGATGGAAACTTGCCTAGGCTTATGCAAATGAAACATTTACACAGAAAGACAGGCAGAATTCACAAACTTAAGAGATTTCCTCTAGAATGCAATCGGTGGCCTCTTCTGCCTTCGCTTGAGTAACAAGAACAGTTCATTTTAATTCCAGGCAGTTTGGCACAAGCTAAGTGCACATTCTCCTCTTTCACAGTTGATTGGCAGCATCAGCACTGGGGCATTCAGCATGGTAGCAGTACCAGGAGCATTTCGAAAGTCCCAAGTAAGATCATGGCCTGTGGAAGGAGAAGAGATGCAATTCTGAGTGGATGCGCATGAAAACGCCAAGGAAATTAGTAATTTTTCAGAAGGAAAAATGGAAGTCCTGATGCGCAGTCTGTAGAAACAAAGAAAAGGAAGTCAGGGTTCAGTGAATTATGACAACTATTTAAGGTCTCAATTTTTTTTAAGAACTAGCTTGGATTTCACATTTCCTTGTTCTAATAGGAGATAATCTTCCAGACAAGTCCTTTATTCTATCTACAAAAAAGAGATGGTTTTAGCATCTCCTAAATATTCAGATGAAGGTATGCACTTTACCCGACAGTCACCTGAGGTTGTCAAAGGGTGTTATAAACAGTGATTACCTGAGCCTCATCTTCCCTAAGTTCGATGGGTGCTGAGTGCTGTGGGCACAGACCAAATTAGGACCCAAGGTCATTTAGTAAGTGGATGTCAACTAGAAATAGGAGACAGATTTATACCCCCAAGATACCCAGGGAGAAACTCTCTTTGGGAATTTTACAGTTGGAAGCAGGTCCATTTTTAAAAAACATAATAGATTTTTTAAAAATAGTTTTGTGTTTGAGTAAGGTTCCAAAGAGCACTTGTTAATTATTACAAATCAACAAATATTAGGCTTTTTCTGTGTCCCATTTGGCACTAGAATCATTCCTTCCACCCCTTTTATTTTATTTTGATATTGACGTTATTTATTTTAGAACGTAAAACAAAAGTATTCAGATTCCTGCTAAGCAAAGTGGACAGAAGATGCTATGTACGAGTTTTTAATGAAAGAATATATATCACAGGCTCACTATTAAAGAATTGCCTGGACTGAGATTCCAGAAGTCTGTTAATTGCCTTCCACTCTCTTTAAAACAGTCTTTGCCTCCCTCCCCCATTTTCCTTACTAAGTCAACTTCATCCAAATCAGTTTCGCTATTGTAAAAATTTTCACGGGAGAAAAGAAAGGTGTATTTGATGTCCTTTGTAAGAATGGCAATGACCCTTAACATCTTGGATTCATCTCCAAGGAGTCATTCAGTAGGAAGGTTGGAGTGATGTAATTTTTATTTTGGAAAGAGAAAGCAACATAAAATAATTTTTTTATTGCTTTCTTCTTTCTCCCTTACCTTCTGCTTTTGTGTAATTGGGAAGGACATGGAGTAGGGATCACATATAGATTCAATAAGGAATTTGTGGATTTTTAGCACTCTGGGTATTGGCTACCGGGCAGCAAGCAACTCATTCAGTCCCAAGTGCCTCCTCTGGGGTTAGGCCATGCATGCCCTTGGGTCCTGGGTCTGGGAGGAGGAAAAAGAGGGAGAATTGTGAAGATAGAGGAGAATAGGCAGGGAGAGTAGGGAAAAGAAGGAAGACCAGTGTGCTAAGAATGGAGCTGGGCTGTGGGTAGGGGTACAGCACCACCTACAGTTGTCTTGGATGCTTTTTGGTGCCCTGTGTTCACTTCTTATAGAATCTAGGGCTTCCAGTCTAGCTTGCTCCTGTCCTGACTCGAGGCTGGCTGAGTCCCTCTGCAATATGGCCTAGAGATATGTTGGCCTGTCCCCTCTCCTTATGTCACCAAAAGGCAATCGAGTGAGATTCCCATAATGTAAGCTCTGCCATGGACCTGCTTGCCTCAGAGCAATTTCCAATGTCCGGTGCCTATCTCACCAAGATGAGGTTGTCCCTAATGCTTGGCTTCCTTTCCAGGGAGCCAGTGGACGAGGTGCTGCAGATCCCCCCGTCCCTGCTGACATGCGGCGGCTGCCAGCAGAACATTGGGGACCGCTACTTCCTGAAGGCCATCGACCAGTACTGGCACGAGGACTGCCTCAGCTGTGACCTCTGTGGGTGCCGGCTGGGCGAGGTAGGGCGGCGCCTCTACTACAAGCTGGGCCGGAAGCTCTGCCGCAGAGACTATCTCAGGTATCTTTTCTTTTCACCCCTGGTCCCCGGGGGCCTCAGAAGGGAGGTGGGTTGTCCACAGACACCTGTCTCTGGGTGTAGCTCCCCCAGCTCCTGCCACAGAGCCATTATGCTGCCAGAATGAGGTCAGCCTGCGGAGGCCGAGTCTCAGCTGCCCCATGCAGAGAAGCATTTGGCATTTCCTTCTGTTTGAGGAGCATGTTCTCAGGGATACATTCCTGTGTGGTAAAATACTAATTTTTCTGAACAGCAAAACAAAACAAAACAAAACTCATTGCCATCAAGTTGATTCTGACTCATAGCGACCCTATAGGGCGGAGTAGAACTGCCCCACAGGTTTCCAAGGCTATAAATTTTATGGAAGCAGACTGCCACATCTTTCTCCCATGGGGCCACTGGTGAGTTTGAACTGCCGACCTTTTGTTTAGGGGCCAAGTACTTAACCACTGTGGCACCAGGGCTCCTTTATGGATGGCAAGAGAATGATAAACACAAAATTGAGAATAGTGGTTACTTCTGGGGAGCGAGCAAAAGGAGAGAGTTGGGCATCACGGGAGCCGAGAATGTTTCCTTTTATATGTTCGGGCATGGGTTCTTGGGAGTTCATTTTCATACTTCAAAACATACATATAGGTTATAAATATCCTTTTGTATGACTCCAGTATTAGGGGATGAGAAATTTAAAAATGGAAAGCGTGCTGTCTCCACAGAGCTCCAAGCATTTGACTGCTTGTAGGGAGACAGCGTGGAACATAGTTAAGGGCAAAGGTCCAGGAGTCAGTTGTAGATTTGAGTTCCAGCATCATAACTTTCTAGCTCTGTAACCTTGGGCAAGTTACTTAACCTCCCTAAGCCTTCATTTCCATATCTGTAAAATGGGCCAATAACAGTACCTTCTTCTAAGGTGAGAGGGCAGTGGTGGGTCAGTGGTTGAATTCTCACCTTCCATATGGGAGACCCGGTTCAATTCCCTGTCAATGACCTCATGTGCAGCCACCACCCGTCGGTCAGTGGAGGCTTGTGTGTTGCTATGATGCTGAACAGGTTTCAGCAGAGCTTCCAGACTACGATGTCCTAGGAAGAAACACCTACTGAGCTACTTCTGAAAATCAGCCAGTGAAAATCCTATGGATCCCAATGGTCCCGTCTACAACTGATCATGGGAATGGCGCAGAACCAGGCAGGGTTTTGTTCCATTGTGCATGGGGTCGCCATGCATTGGGGGCCAATTCAATGGTAGCAAACAACAACTTCCAAGGTGATGATGAGGATTAGATGGGATAATAAAAGCACTTGGCTTGGTACATAGTATCAAATAGAAGTTAGCTACTGTTATAACTAACCCTAGTGACATTATCGGTAAGTCTTCCTGTCTAATGAACAGGAGACAGAAGCATGGAGGGGTGAAACAGGAACTCTACAGCACCGAGTGATACGCCAGCTGAGGGCATCTCTGAGGCCATGTGGATTTTCAGGCATTCAACGGGTGCCTTTGCCTGGAATGTTCTGGCATTCCTGGTTTCATATTAGCTGCTGTGGAGGTAACTCTGTGCCCTCTACTGTCAGATCTGCTCAGCTGTGTAGCTGTCAGTTTTTTGCCATCTTCTGTGGCAGAGGGTCCGTGGAGTGTGCAGGACCACCCAACCAGTGGAAGGTTGTTTAGACTTCAATGCCTTTGGCTGCCAGGCCGGCTCGTCTTCCCAAACCTGTCCTCAGAGCATGTTACATTTAAAAAAAAAAAACTGCAGGCAATTCAATGGTGAAGGAAGCTTATCTGTTTACCCAGAGACTGATAGACTCCTCCCTGCCCACCCTGCTTTTTTTCTTAATTCCTTCATAGAGCCCTTGCAAATTTGGTGCTTCTGAGAAATTTGGTGGTCTTCAATGATCATGATTATATTTTTGGTCTTTTTTTTTTTTTTTTAAGTCATAAGAAAATAGAACAGGGATAAATAGAGACCTGGTTTTGCTCAGTAACCAGTTTGCCAAGTCAGTGCAGAAAGCAGACGGGTAAATGATTCCCGTTGGGCTCCCTGACTACATCCCTGTCAAATCATTTGAATCTTATTAAATGAAGTGCCGATCGAGTAAGGTCAGAAGAGCCTGGGCTTCTATCTCTAATTTTTATAGAACATTCAAGAATATAGCCAGGGCTACCTGAGCTTGTTAATCTCTTCCATTTTTAAGAAGGTGAGGAAAAAAAAAAAAAAGTCTGGAAGAACCCAATGCTAATTAACTTGTGTCTTGGTGACATGAAATAATTCTTCTCCCTGCTACAATCCCAGGCAACATGTTAATTAACTCAGTGTTAGTGCGGGCGTTTCCAGCCATCCTTAATATTTATATTATTGTTATTAAAATGGGCAGCAGAAAGCTTAAGATGTGACACCTCTTGACAGAGGAAAGAGAAATGGTTTTGCTTCAGGGACAGTCCTTTAACCTGGGCTTGTTTACTGTCATTCTTAACCTATCTGGCAAGGTCTTTGTAAAAAGGCAAGGAGGAGGAGTGACTGAATGGGACCTATCAAGGGGTTCAGTCCTTTCCCCAGGAGGCTCCTCCCCATGAGGATTCCTGATGACCCACTCACTTGTTATAATCCTTTCCAGGTATTTAGCCTTAAATAATCATAAGACCCCCATGCCAAGCCTGAACCATGCCCCTGTTGTATTTTCCAGATCTTAACAGTAGCTGTTAATGTTGGTACCTGCCCAGATCTCCTTGGATCCCTTTTTACTAATTTCTGGGGTAGCTCCCAAACTTCCAGTGGTTTTTATTTTCAATAGCCAATACCTGAGTCTGTTGGAGCCAGAAGTATCCCAGTCCCCTAGCACCCCCACTCCTGTGGACCTTAGCCAGTGACTGATACCTCAGGAGTATGAAAGCCCTGCAACCTTGCCTGGGGTCTGGATGACCCGGAGACATAACTTAGACTCCAGAGTTCCCCGTGGTAGCAGGCCGAAGTTCCCATCTGAGAGACTTGGCCTGAGATTGCAACTTGACTAAACCTCCTCTCCTTCTAATTCACCTTCCCCTGCTTCCCCTTCCAGTCAGGGTTCCCCTAGAAACACACCCTTAACAAATCCCTGGCACACAAACCCTCACCTCAGGATCTACTTCTGGGATATCCAACCCAAGACACTAATTCTTTGTGCCAAAGATTAATGCTCAAGTTAGTGCCAAGTGCTGGCTTACTTTTACCAATATTAGAACCTCAGAATGCCAGAGCTGGAAGGAGCCGTAGAAGCTATCTCTTCTGATTCCCTTGCTTAACAGTTTAACACACAGAAGCCCAGAGAGAGGATGTCATTTGCTTGGCATCACTTGGCTACTTAGAGGTGATGCTCAGCCCTTTGTCCCTTCATTAGCTGCCGGATGTGTATTATAATTTACCCCCTGAAATCCCTTTAATAAACCCTCTCCTTCTTTAAACAGCACACACCCCAGGCAGTTGGAGTCATTCCCTGCACACTGTTCTGTCTCATTTATCCTTGCTCAAGCCCGAACTTAACTTACTGAACAGCCAGGAAACCAGAACTGTCTCTCCACTCCATGACCTCCAATGTGGCAGTTGCCTACAGCTCCACCATCTGCTACATTGGGATAGATGTTCTCCCCCAGTAATGAGTTTGCTCCCAGATGGTGCTCTGAAAACACTCAGATCTTCCAACGAAAAGCAGGATGCAGAAGAAATTAGATGGCCCTGGCTCTAAAATAAAGCGATCGACTGCTAACCAAAAGGTAGGTGGTTCGAAACCACCAGTGACTCCAGAGGAGAAAGATATGGCAGTCTGCTTCTGTAGAGATTTACAGCCTTGGAAACCCTATGGGGTTGCTATGAGTCGCAATTGACTTCAGTGGCAGTGAGTTTGATTTTGGTTGGGTTTGGATCTAAAAATGAGCTCTTTACTCACAGACCACATCTTCTTGATTCCATTAATTTTGCCGAAATGTTTCAAAATTTGTCAGCTGCCCTTGTTGTTGTTCCAGTAAGAACGAGCATTTACCTAAAACTCTCCTAAAGGTTTTATGTGGAAACCACCTGCTCATATGCCATGTTATCAGCCAGGTGTGACGATGGCTTCCTGCTGCAAGATAGGTGCAGTTGGGAATACATCTGAGGTGTGTTAAAACAGTAACCTGCATTGGCTTAGCCCTTGACCATTGATGCTTTGACATGCCCCATTTGATCCCTCTAACAGCTGAGTGAGGTAGATGTTATAAAAAAAAGCACAAAAAAATGAGACCCTTTGCCGTCAAGTCAATTCCAACTCATTTGTTGTTGTTAGGTGCCGTACAGTCGGTTCTGACTCATAAAGACTCTGTATACAATAGAATGAAACAGTGCCCAGTCCTGTACCATCCTCACCATCATTGCTGTGTTTGAGCCCATTGTTGCAGCCACTGTGTCAATCCGTCTCCTCTTTTTTCCACTGATCCTCTACTTTACCAAGTATGATGTCCTTCTCCAGGGATTGGTCCCTCCTGATAACATGTCCAAAGTACTTGAGATGAAGTCTTGCCATCCTTGATCCTAAGGAGCATTTTGGATGTACTTCAAGACAGATTTGTTCATTCTTCTGAAAGTCCATGGTATATTCAATATTGTTCGTCACACAGTAATTCAAAGGTGTCAATTCTTCTTCAGTTTTCCTTATGCACTGTCCAGCTTTCTCCTGCATATGAGGCCTGGGTCAGACGCACCTTAGTCCTCAAAGTGACATCTTTGCTTTTTAACACTTTGAAAAGGTCTTTTGCAACAGATTTGCCCAATGCAGTACGTCATTCGATTTCTTGACTGCTGTTTCCCTGGGTGTTGATTGTGGATCCAAGTAAAATGAAATCCTTGACAACTTTAATATTTTCTCTGTTTATCATGATGTTGCTTATTGGTCCAGTTGTGAGGATTTTTGTTTTCTTTGTTGAGGTGTAATCCATACTGAAGACTGTAGTCTTTGATCTTCATCAGTAAGTGCTTCAAGTCCTCTTCACTTTCAACAAGCAAGGTTGTGTCATCTGCATAATGCAAGTTGTTAATGAGTCTTCCTTCAATCCTGATGCCATGTTCTTCTTCATATAGTCCAGCTTCTTGGATTATTTGCTCAGTATACAGATTGAATAAATATGGTGGAAGGATACAACCTTGACTCACACCTTTCCTGATTTTAAACCATGCAGTATCCCCCTGTTCTGTTTGAACGACTGCCTGTTGGTCTACGTACAGGTTCCTCATGAGCACAATTAAGTGTTCTGGAATTCCCATTCTTCTCAATGTTACCCATAATTTGTTGTGATCTACACAGTTGAATGCCTTTTCATAGTCAATAAAACACAGGTAAACATCTCTCTGGTATTCTGTTTTCAGAGTCATAGCAACCCTACAGGACAGAGTAGAACTGCCCCATAGGGTTTCAAAGGCTATTATCTTTACAGAAGCCTACTGCCACATCTTTCTTTCAAAGAGTGGCTGGTGGGTTCGAACAGCCGACCTTTTGGTTAGCGCCGAGCGTTTAACCGCTGTGCCACCAGGGCTCTTTCTCCTTGGTAGATTTTATAATCACTGCTCTTTCACTGAAACTCCAAGAAATCAAATATCTCCCCTGGGTCCCTCATGTACTCATGGCTTGTTCTGTACTTTGAATCTGGTCTTCTGATTCCATTACTTGTGTTACTCCACTCTTGCAGGCTGATTCTTAAACTTCGTTCGGCCTACATCAGAATCACCTGGAAGTGCTCATTAAAACACTGCCAAGTCTCACCCTCAGAGCTTCTCAGTCAGGTGGGGCCTGAGGACTTGCATTTCTACCAAGTTCCCAGGTTATACCATAGTGCTGGTACTGGTATCACACTTTGAGAACCTCTGCACTAGAGGAGCCCTGGTGGAACAATGGTTAGGGACTCGGCTGCTAATTGAAAGGTTGGCAGTTTGAACCCACCTGGCAGAGAAAGACCTGGTGATCTGCTCCTGTAAAGATTATGGCCTAGAAAACCCTATGGGGCAGTTCTACTCTGTCACATGGGGTCACTATGAGTCAGAATTGACTCTATGGCACCTAACAACAATGGTACTGGGCTCATGGTGGCCCCATGTGTTACAGAGTAGAATTGCTCCATAGGGTTTTCTTGGCTGTAATCTTTATGGAGGAGCCTTAGTGGCACAACAGTTAAGCACTTGGCTGCTAACCGAAAAGTTGGCAGTTTGTACCCACGCAGTGGCTCCGTGGAAGAAAGACTTGGCCATCTGCCACTGTAAAGAATACAGCCTAAAAAAACCATATGGGGCAGGTCTACTCTATCACATGGGATTGTTATGAATCGAAAATTGACTCAATGGCACCTAACAACAACACAGTCTTTACAGAAGCGGATTGCCAGGACTTTCTTCCACAGTGCCACTAGGTTTGTTCAAACGGGCAACATTTAGGTTAATAGTTCGAGCACAGAGGTCGCCATGAGTTGGAATAGACTCGACAGCAATGGGTTTAACAGGCACCAGGCTCTACTATGTTGTATCACCCACCTCGACATTGAATATTGCTTGAAGTAAGTGGCTTATCAACTGAAATTTAGGAATGTCTTAATTTAAATGTTAGAATAAAATTTTCTGCAGAGATCCACGCCAGCGGGGCAAGGAGGATCGTGAATTAAGATCTTCTATTCGGTGTGGAGAGATACAGTTTGTCCTCCAGATCTGAGGCATGATTAACGGTGCCAGGTGTTTTCTGTCAAATGCCCTCTGTCCCCAAAGAATAATCATGTGGAGATGGGCTTCGCAGCTGATGGAGGAATTCAAGGCCAACTCTCCTCATAGGTGGAATTAGTGACTGCTGACATGACAGGGTTTGAGGAGCCTCATGAGGATACCCACTTTATTGCATTCCTGGTCAGTCTTCTCCCCCCAGAGAGACCCTCAGGGTTTACTGTAGCTCCTTTTTTAAAACGAAAGCTCCCTGAGAGGGCATACGGCTGTATCCCTAACCCTTTAACTCAAATCACTTCAGCTGAGTCTCTTCTATGGCAGAGAGGCCTAGGACAGCCTAGAGGCTGTGGTGAGTGGTTTCTGAAGGTAGGGAGCGAGCTCAGAAAAGAGAGGAGTTAATACCAAACACAAGTACCACTGCTTACTGTTTCATCCCCAACTACCCTCTCCTTTCTAGACAAGACTACAGTAGTTAGCCTTCCGTCTGAGCCCAACTCTTCCTAGCTTCCTGACCTCTTGGAAGTCCAGCCTACTATACAGAGCCCATCCCCAAGCCCTGTCTTCCAGTACTGTCTCTCCCTCTGTCTTCTTAGCCTTTATTTCTTTTCTCCCCAGACTTTTTGGTCAAGATGGTCTCTGTGCATCCTGTGACAAGCGGATCCGTGCCTATGAAATGACGATGCGAGTGAGAGACAAAGTGTACCACCTGGAATGTTTCAAATGTGCTGCCTGTCAGAAGCATTTCTGTGTAGGCGACAGATACCTCCTCATCAACTCCGACATAGTGTGTGAACAGGACATCTATGAGTGGACTAAGATCAACGGGATGATATAGGCCACAGTCCCCCAGCGTCTTTGGGGAGGTGTTTTACCGAAGACACTGTCTCCATGGGGTCTTCACTTTTAGGCACTTTGGGGATTTGCGGGCAGGGTGAGGCGTTTCTTAGGGGATGGTAGACCCTTATTGGGCACGAAGGTATAGCAACAAAGTGACATACTGCAGGGGAAGAGAGATAAATGTGACAAAAGGACCAGCCATTAGGGAGAATTTATGACCACAGCCTATTTGAAATAACTGACATAATTAGCGAGGAAAGGAGCATTTGGGGGACAAACGGGAGCTGTGCCATCATGATGGCATTTCACATCTACAGATACAGAGTTGTTGTATAAAGAGTGGTAATGACTATGACCCCTGCAAACTGGAGTTGTGCAATTGATTTCTTTTCTCCCTGGTTCTTAAAATGATCCTGTTCCAGTCACTGTCCTCCATACAGGAAAGGACAGAGGGGAGAATGGCCATCCTTTTTTCCTTGGACATCTTCCCAAAGCCTCAAGCTTTGGACCAAGGGAAACTGCATGGAGACATATTTCAGTTGAGAATGGAAACTGCAACTTTTCACCAAACAATTATTTAAAGCAATGTTGATGAATCACTGTTTTTAGACACCTTTGTTTTGAGGAATTCCACAGGCTGTTTCTATACAAATGTAAAGCTAAAAAAAAAAAAAAAAAAAAAAAAAGTTGTGGAACTATTTTATTATCTTAGATTATATCAAAGTATTTGTTGTGTGTAGTAAAAAATGAGACAGAAAACCCTGCAGACTTAATAAAAATGACAGACTAAAATGCAGTGCTGCTTGTTTGACAACAACTTACAATTTTGGGATGGCAGGAAATGGTCTGCTTTTTATATTGAAAGGCGAAGGAAATTAGCAATTTACTTTTAGGTCAAATAAAAACTTCCCTTTATTGCTAGGGTTTATATGAGGCAGGCATGTTTCTATATTACTAGCAATTACATAACAGGTCATCGTTTGGCTCAGAGTGACGTAGAATAATTAAATTGTTATTGTAAAATGTGCATTTCACTTCAGCATTGTATAGAGTGAGTGGAAGGCAAGATCATTGCCTTTGGGAAACCTGTAACCTAGAAAGGACACAAATACATAAAACAGGTTTCCTTTGGGAGAGAAGGTAATTACCTAGTCTGAAATGTGGCAAAGATGCTGACCTTGACACTTCAATTTTCTGAGACGTGTGTCTCAGAGTATTTTATGACAAGTGGTTGAGAGGACCTTACTTGGAGGATTTAAAGCAGGCACCTTCATGTGTGCGTTCACCTTTCACCCTATCCAGCCATGACCATGAACTGATTTAGAGCGCCACCTGCTGGTCATCACCTCTTGGCTTGCTAGACCAAGAATGTCTCAATGAAGGACAAACCTAGATGAAAGACATATTTTTCAACTATTGCATAAAAAATAATTGGGAAACACCAGGAAGTGTTAATATGTTGAATTATCATGACATCAGAAACCTGCAGCTAATGTTAAAGTTAACGATGAGATTCCTTTAAAATCGCCAATCATTATTACTAAGGTTTTTTTCTTTTTCTTTTTCTTCTTCTAAACCAAAAAAACCCCAAACCCACTGCCAGCGAGTTGATTCCAACTCATAGCAACCCTACAGGACAGAGTAGAAGTGCCCGATAGGGTTTCCAAGGCTGTAATCTTTATGGAAGCAGATCATTATATCTCCTGCAGAGTGGCTGGTGGGTTCGAACTGACGACATTTCAGTTAGCAGCTGAGCTACTAGGGTACCTTTTTCTCCTTCTAGGGGAGAAATAATTAAGTAATGGCTTTTTTGGTCTGTAAAGTGCTAAAAGTGGCTGGGAAATTTGATTGTTTAAGGTACGTATTTAAAACAACCTAATTATATTGCATTCCGGCTGAGGTGGTTGGTGAGGTGCTACCCATGGAGGGAAGTTTGTTCTAAATCGGTTTTCAAAATGTGGTCCCTGAACTAGCAGTATCAACATCACCTCGGAACTTGTTAGAAATGCAGATTCTTGGGCTCCACCCTAGACCTACTGAATCACAAACTCTGAGGATGGGATCCAACCATCTTTAACAAGCCCTGGTGGTGCAGTGGTTAAAGCACTCAGCTGTTGACCGAAGATCAGCAATTCGAAACCAGCGGTTCCCTGGGAGAACGATGTGGCAGTCTGCTTCCATAAAGATTTACAGCCTTGGAAACCCCATGGGGCACTTCTACTCTGTCCTATAGGGTCTCTACCAACTGGGCAGCCACAGGTTTTATAGGTGATTTTGACTTATGTTCAAGTTGGAGAATTGCTGTTCCGATCATTCTCCAGTTAGGAAGGTAATGCACTCTAAGTTGTTAATAGTCAATATTGGACACAAAGGTTACTCACTGAGTAACGTTTCCACATGTAGACAAATATTGTCTGTCCATGGTCCCTAAACTGACAATGTACATATTTTTGTCACTCAGCTAACAGTTGGCTTGTGTTTCATCTACTAGATCAATCACAATTCAATCCACTATTTTAAATCATATCAACATAAATAATAATACTATAATAGTATATTTTGGCTCTGCAATTATCCTATAAAAAGTATTATGTAAGAATAAAAATCACTGAGTCAAAATCAACTCAACGGCCACGGGATTTTTTTTGGAATCCTCATTGTAGTACTACACTCCTAAAATTTAAGAAATGAGCCAATACCTCAACAAATCAGCATCCTCAAGAAAATAATAATTGACATTTTCCATTTGTCAATGGCATCATCTTACAGAATTGCAGATGGACAGGTAGGATCTTTGTGGCAAGTCACCTCAGGGGCCCAAATGTCTAACCCACAACTGACTTGAAAGGACATGTAAAGACACTTGAGATGGGATCCGCTCCTGAGTTTACCCTGGTGGTCCTCACCTGGGTGTGTAATCTGTGCCCTTCACTCTAGACCCAATGTCAGGAAAACCAGGTACCTGCACGCTTCCATGGTCCAGTGCCTTGATTAGGCAGTTTGCTGGACATTTTGCTTCCTCTTACTTCATTAACATCATCTGTTCCAAAAAGCTTCCTTTTCTTGCTGTCTCTAATAGAACCATTACTTCTCAGGGAACTTTGGAATCCTGTAAAGTTAAAATAGAGTAACGGATAAAACCAAAAACCCAACCCATTGTTGTCAAGTCAATTACAATTCATGGTGACCCTATGTGTTACAAAGTAGAACTGCTCCACAGGAGTTTCTTGGCTGTAAATTTTTTTACTTAAGCAGTTCACCAAGACTTTCTTCCATGGAACTGCTGGGTGGGTTTGAACCACTGATCTCTAGGTTAGCGGCCGATCACAAACTGCTTATGCCACCCAGACTCCTAGCTGTGTAATTCCAAGATTTTGGTTTGAATTGCTGTGGTGTGATGGATCACTTTTGTGTGGCCTTTCTTACCATGGTCTTGTAACTCCCACCCAATCACTTGGGTGGGACTGTGCAAATAGGGTAATTGTGGCCTACCAAGGGATTGGTCAGTTTTGCCATTCTGCTAGGCTTGATATGAGCCACCCCAGAGATGAGAAAGGGAGAATCCCACCACCACCAAGGAAGAACACCTAGGAGCGGAGAGCGCATCCTTGGACCCGGGATCCCTGCGCTGAGAAACTCCTGGAACCAAGAAACAGAGACAGAGAGCTCAAGAAGTGGCGGCAGAGAAACAACCACAGGAGACATCGGGAGATGGTGTGGTGGACTTCCCAGCCCACAGAGCGAGAAAGCTGAGTGCCTGGGTTGCCTCTGGGAACTTAGTGACAGGGGCTGAACAAGCTTTGTAATACTTGCCTGAGTAGGACAGCGGCCTAGAGCCAGGGAGAGGCCTGCCTGTGAACATGGCTGGGAAGAGGCTGTCCTGATGGAAGAACTGTATCCTGAGCATTCCTCAGCCTGAATTGTAACTGTTACTTCCCTAAGAAACCTCAGATCGTGAGTATTGTCTGTGAGTTCTGTGTGGCCATTGCAATGAATTATTGAACCCAGCAGAGAAATAAAGAGTGCCATGGGAGGGACGATTGGTGTCAGAATTAGTAAAGACAGGGGAGAGAGAAGGCACATCTGACCTCCACCTTATAGGAATCAGCCTTGAGCTGTTGATCTTGATTCTCCTCCCCCCTTGTGAAGTTAGAGGTCAGATGCTGCCACTACACCATTTTTACAATTGCAATGACATGACTTAACGAACATTTATGTATCACTTACTGTGTGCTTTACACATGGTGCTTTGCAAATTCTCGGTGCTTTACAAATATAAATGCCTTCAATACACATGACAGCCTTATTATGGCAGGTTCTATTTATTATCATCTGCATTTTACTGCTGAGAAAGCTGGGGCACAGAGAAGTTCAGTAACTTAGCTAAGATCCCACAACTAATAAATGACAGAAGTAAGCTTTAACCAAGGCTCTGAGCCTCTGTGCTCTTGAGTTCACCCCACTGAACCTCAGATTTCTCATCTGCAAAATGCAGAAGATTAACACCTTTCTTCTAGAGTTATTTGAGGATATTTGAGCTCAGACTAGCCAGAAATGTAAACAAATCACAATGATACAAGATCAGTACATAGTAAAGGTACATAGAAAGTGCTATGGAAACACAGATAAGGGAACAATGAAATCTGCCTGGGGGGGTGGCTGTCTGGAGCAAAGAGGAAGTGACATTTGAAATGGCCCTGGACCAGGAAGAGGGGGTTGTGTGGGCAAAAACAAAGACTCAGAGACCTGGACCATAGCGGGCAAGTCATCAGGGGAGCCTGGGGTTTTCATGGTGGTGAGGATGGGGGTAGGGAATTGGCTGCAGAGGGTCTGGTAGGGTGACCTTTAATTCTCAATTCTCTCACAGACTGTTATTACTGTGCCAGGGACAAAATCTCCCTCAGCCTCTCCAATTTGCATCTACTCCTTGTTCAGTGGTTCTTAAACTTGAGTGTTTAGGAGTCTCCTAATTGATAGAGAGTCTATTAATACATAGACTCCTGGGCTGAACCACAAACCTGCAGAATGGAGATCTTTTTGGGGAAGGGTCCAGGAACCAAACGTTCACCAAGCAACCCCTCTCCCCCTTTCTTTCGTTATTGTTCTTTGTTGTGATTGTAGGTTGTTTCCTGACTTTGACCAGAACTGCTGCTAAACCCTGTGTTCGATGAGGGCAGGGACAGTGTCTGTTATTTAGCCTCATGTCTCCAGACCCTAGCACATGCTGGCACATAGTAGGCACTTATACGTTGTTGAAATGATTTTTAACTCTCCTCTCAGCTTCTGTAGATCTCTGGGTGGTGCAAATGGTTTGTGCTCAAGTATCAACTTAACGATTGGCTGTTTGAACCCGCTCAGTGGCACCACAGAAGAAAGGCCTGGCTATCTGCTTCTTTAAAGATTACAGCCAAGAAAACCCTATGGGGCAGTTCTATTCTGTAACACATGGGGTCACTAGAAGTCGAAATCGACTCGTCAGCAATGGATTTGTTTTTTAGTTAGCTTTCATAGTATTTATTTATTGTATATTTTCTGTTTTATTTTAAACTTTGTTGATATTAGGTGCTGTACAGTTGGTTCCAACTCATAGCGACCTTATGTACAACAGAAAGAAACACTGCCTGATTCTGGGCCATTCAATTGTTGTTATGCTTGAGCCCATGATTGCAGCCACTGTGTCAATCCT